CGTCTCTACCTGTCGAGGATGGGCTGGGTAGGGGGACAGTTTTCCCACCACAACTACGACGACTGATCTCGGTTATTTTGCATAATTTGTCAATTATGCCCAACCTCGGTCATGACCTCTCACTACTCTCGTAATTTTCTTTTTAAATTTTAAATAACACACAGAACCTGTTTTCTTAATCTAAAAAACACGAATGAAATAGTCCAAACTAGAATCCATGCTCAATCTATCATACTTAAGTTTGAGTAAACCGTACTTGACCATATAACTGGAAGTTTTAACCTAACTAAACGTGTCTGAATAATATCAACGTCTACGGGACTACTCAATTATTTTCAGATATGGATATGTGATTTGAGGAATACTGATTCGAAACATTCTAAACCATCTGTATACTCAAACACGTCAGTTGTCCGTTCATAATTCATTAATGATAATATCATACACTGGTAATAACTTATTCACTTATTTCATACAAAGAAATCTGTAATATACTGTCGAAATGAATTATGTAATATTAAAAATACTTGATTTAACATGATTCCGCCAACAGATGAATCAGAGATGAGCCCATATCCCAAATGAGAAGAGATTCTTTTCATGGGCGAACAATTGTAAGAGAATCGGGGATGACAAATACTCTCCCATCCCAGTATGTTCCTATCCCAAATATTAAATATATATCTTATTTAAATTATTAAAATAATAATTATATACCCTATGAATTCTTTTTAATCAACATATTGGATTTTTTTATATTTAGTTTTCATTATTTTTAAAACTTACTATATCTGTTTTTTGTTTGTTAATAATGATGTTGTGTATTTTAAGGATGTTTGGTTATAAGTATTATGCAGTAATAAATGAAAATGAAAGAAATTGTATGATTTTATATAATATAAGTGGGGAAATCATCCCAAACGAGCAGTATACTGTATACGGATGTATTTTTACAAAATGCCCAGTTTTCAAACATTTCTCTCAAGATGACTGGTATTTTCGCCAGAGTCTGACGATTTTAAAAAGAAGCTAGCGAATTTCTGTTATTTTTTATAAATATCAGATTTTGTCTCCTCTCTGTGATGCATATGAGACTCATCCTTACCATAAAATGAACTATTTTCGCCAGCTTCTTAAAATCGCCAAGACTCTGGCGAAAATATCGGTCATTTTGTGAGAAATGTTTGAAAGTGGTCATTTTATAAAAAATAAATTCGTATACTGGTCGATTTAAACGATTTCCCACTCATTCTCCTAGAAATCCAAATTTTTCATTACAAATTATACCGAAGGAATGAAAATCTATACCATTTTATGTCATTTACATTTTTATTCTCATTCTCATTCTCGTTCTCTAACCATTGAATAGAGGTGCTCAAAAACCCGACAAACTCGATCAACCTAACCTAACCCAATGCGAAATAACTTAACCTAAAGCAACCCGCTGTCTAATCGAGTTGTCAAATTCTCAAACCGTATGTATTGAGTTACTAGTATTTGAATTCAATCCGACCCGATTAACCCGATATCATTTTATTTCTTGGATTTAATATGATTGTTGAAAACTATTAATATATACATTAGACAATTACCCTATCACGTATATTTTTCATATACACATATTTTCAATCTATTCACATCTCTATATAACTCATTCATATATATGTTCAGTAACTGTGAATATATATATATATATATATATGTGTGTGTGTGTGTGTGTGTGTGTGTGTGTGTGTGTGAATTGAGAAAAATAACTGAACATGATATATGTAAGAATTAAGAAGTATGAATAAGTTGTATCAAATGGTTGATGATGAAAAAGAAATTATGAGTAGAGAAATAACATATTCAAGGTTAGAAAAATATTTTAATGTATTAAAATATCAATCCGACTAACCCAACCAATCCGTATGGTTTGGTTTGGTTGGGTTGCACTAAGATTTGGGTTGAGTTGGGTTAAAAATTTTCAAACCGCAAACATTAGATTGAGTTATTCAAATATTTTCAACCTGATCAACCCAACCCATAAACACCCCCTCGAAAGAGGTTCATAGTTTTAAAAATAATTTATTTAAAAGTTTTTATAAAATAAGAAAAAAAAATTATGGGAGAAAATATAAAATAATGAATGCTTAGTTTCTTGAGTCTTGACTGACAGCATTGACCAGTCAAAACTGACATTTGGTTTGGATCCAGCAAGGAGATCGATAAGTGTGAAAGATACGAGAGATTAAACCAAGGCAGACCAGCCGATGGAGTCAAACCCGTCTCATTTACCTCTCAATTACCTTACCACATAATTTATGGATTTGATCCTTCTGGTTTGGTTGTTTTTACAAAAATGGTCCTTGTCATTTTGTAATTAATTGATCACTCTTTCTAACGGTCATCCAGTTCTTTCGTTAATCTTGCATTTTTGTCCGTTTCCTTTTCTTTTTGTCGTTATTCGAAGGACCAATTTCGTAAAAACCACACAAACCATATGATTAAATCCGTAACTAAGTCTAAAAAAATAAAGAAAATATAATTTTTTTTTTATATTTTGATTTTGTTAAATTAATTAATTATTATATTTTAACATATTTTAGTTATTCTTTTAAGTTTAATTTTGATATATAATATGTTTTTTTTTAAAACAATATGTATTACATGTGCATACACACACACACACATATATATATATATATATATATATATATATACATAGTGAGACTTGGGATTATGTGAGAACAAAGTTTTTTCGTGAGACCTGTAAGACCAATTCTCAACCCTTGGATTAGATCTACAATCTGAAAATTCATAATCACAATATTGTTACCGTGCAGCTTTAGACCATTAGATCATTATCTTATAAAGTTGATCAATGAACATAAATATGTCTTACGGGTCTCACGAAAAACTTTTGGTCTCACATGAACCCAACCCTATATAGCGAGGTTCAACCTTTTAGGGGAAACTTACATCGATCAACCATTTGATTCATTGATTCAATTGTGTGATTAAATGGACATTTATTAACAATATTTTATAAATTAAAAAAACTTCATTTTAAAAAATTATTTAAGTTATATATATATATATATATATATATATAAAAGTTTTATCAACCAAAATTATTTACATTTTCTTTTTACTAACTTTTGTTTTTGATTGAAAACTTAAATTATTTAAATCAATTTACATTTTAAAACAAAAAATAATCAAATATATTAAACTATTAATCAATACATATATAACTATAATTATAAAAATTCAATATAATATTAATATTTAATAAATAGAGGTCAAATTTAGCCTCTAAATATAAAGGCCAAAGTTGATGAAATCCAATTTTTTAGTGTTATAATGATGGGTTCGAATAAAATAATACATCAATTTTAGTGTTTTTAATGTTTTCGATGTCCTACAAATTATATAATTAATAATAAAAAAATCTAAAAAGATAAATTGTATGGAAAAATAATGTACTTTAATTTGATTCTTATTTTGACTAACGTACTCTTAAAACTTTCATTTTAATACCTAGGATATAAAGTTTTAAACATTTATGTAACCGGGTAACCGGTTGAAGGATTAGCCGGTTACCATGCTGATGTGACGAATGATGTGATATCCAACTCAATATTATTTGCTAACATGAATATCTTAATCTAAAATTAGTTTTTATGTATTGTGGTTTATTAGAAGAAAGAGTTAATCTTCAACCGGTTACCCGGATACTAAAATGTTTAAAACTTTACATTTTAGGTACCAAAATGAAAGTTTTGAAAGTACGTTATTTAATATATGAATCAAGTTAAAGTACGTTATTTTTTCATGTAATTTGCTATTTCTAAAATTAAACAAGAGTCTCGTTCTTTCCCTCTTGAAAAGTATTAAATAACGTACTTTTTTGTTCGTTTAGTTAAATAAATTAAATTGAATCAAATGGAGGGCAATTTTGAAACAAGTTGTTTTTATTTTTGAAAGATAATCATCAACGGCTATTCCTTCTTTCCATCTTGAACTGCTATATCGAACTTTGTTTAATATGGTATTTGTTGAAAATTCATAGTGTTGTTTCATCTATTAACTTAAAAAAAAAATCACAGTTCACAGGAGAAACCAAAAAATACATAAGCTAAACAATGATTTTTGTAAAGTTCATAGGTAAAACAATGATTTTTGTTTAAAATTCATGACGATGAGTTGTGTACTGTTTCAAAAAATTTACCAAATTTTAATAGATGAAACCATAAAATGAATAAGATAATTAAATATATTTAAATAAAGTAAATGAAAATGGCCTGATTAACAAATTTGTGTTAATTACACGGTTAGCAAAAGAAGATACTTTTCTCTCTCTCTCTCTCTATATATATATATATATATACACATACACACACACTCTCACACGAGACGTTCTTTTGAGAATCAATAAAATTGTGATAACTTTGAAAACTTGTGCATCATCTGTTATTTTATATGATTTTTTTCTATCTAAAGTTAGAATTTAGAATATTAATTAACATATATTTGCTTTACATGTAATTGGTCCACAATGTGAGTATTTACTACGTGTTTGTTATGGATTTAATCATTTAAGAACTTCAAAATTTGAGGGATCTATGAGAACTCCAACCTTAAGTTTTTGTTTAACATGGTTTTTTCCTGTTTAAATATAAAATTTAATGTATCTATTAACATATGTTTATTTCACAATATGTTTGTTTTACATGTACGTGGTCTATAATGTGAACATTTTTTTACATGTTTGTGAAACAAAAAGTCCACATAAAAAATTTCACATTATGAACTGAATTAATATGAAACAAACACGTTGTAAAACAAATATATTTTAATCAATACATTAAATACTATATTTAGACCAATTTTTTTTACTTATATATAACAAAAATACGCACAAATATCTATAACACAAATACACACAGAAATAAGTAGCTCTGTACAGAGACATGTATAGAGTCTCATATATAAGTAGAGAAGTCAGATGAAGCGTCTCAGTAGACATTTTTCACACCAACACTGCTGCTTGAAATAGATATATTCAGTGGACTTCTCCGACAGCCACTCACCGGCCGCCTTTAAGCTCAATCGACCGGAAAATCGATCGTGTTTATAGCAAATATGTTCATGTCAGTATGAATATCGAATACCGGTCATCATGTCAGTCTCCTACTCTGACTGCTTTTCCGATTTACTCTGCGGCGAGGACTCCGGGATATTATCCGGCGGCGAGCAGCCTGAGTGCTCCTATGATTTTGAATATTGTGCCGATTTCGACGATTCAATCGCTGAGTTTATAGAACAGGAGAGAAAGTTCGTTCCAGGAATCGATTACGTCGAGAGATTTCAATCTCAAGTTCTCGATGCATCTGCTAGAGAAGAATCCGTTGCATGGATTCTCAAGGTAATATACTTATATATGTACATGTCCAAATACTCGATTCCGATCTTCATTTTCTGAAGCTCTTGATTAATCTCGTATTTAAGTGCTTGATTTGATTGATATTCAAGTTATCGGATTAGATATCAACAAAAAACACGAAATGTTTTGCCAGAGCATATGATTGAAAAGTTAGTTACAGCTCGAATCGGTTGTTATTGTCATGTAAAAGTCATGTTGAGCTGGATTTATTCCTTGAAAAACGCATCGAATTGCATCTGGAAAATCGTTGGCGCATTTTAACATCACGCGTCGGTGGCGCTACCGTGATCCGTCGAAACGGCGTTTGACTCTGATTTTTTCTTCAACGTCCGTTGCATCGGTGATGAATCTAAGATCGCCGCCGCCGTATATGGACTGTTCAATTAGTTCCGTATATTCTATTAAATCGATCAGACGGTGGTGAATTATTTTTACATTCGTCTTCTCTTTTGTGTTCTTTACAGGTTCAACGATTCTACGGTTTTCAGCCGTTGACGGCATACCTCTCCGTCAACTACCTGGATCGCTTCATCTATTGCCGTGGTTTTCCGGTGGTAAATTCCTCGACCGTTTTCCGTAGGCTCAAAATATTCAGAAACCGTTTCCTCTTTTTTCTTCTTTCTCAATAGTTATTCCTGCATTTCTATTGGATATAAAAATAATGAATAAATAATTCTGGAAAAGATTGTTATAACAAAAGTCTAAAAAGTAAACATTGACATGTTCCAATCCTAAAGAAAGTGATTTAGTTACCAGGGATTCTTGGATAATATTCTGTTTGAAATCTATTTATTTAACACCAAAAACGTGTTTTAACCATAATTAAGAGAAGAGATTAATATGAAGTGAACTAGTCTATTAATCAGTGGGACCGCATCCCTACCATCAAAATTTGGTCCTCTTTTTGTTTTTTCTTTCTTGTACTTTGAGCAAATTTACGACGTTATAAAGGAAATCTCTAGATTTTACTTTTTTTTAATGGCTAATTGATTTAGTTATTCTTTTATCCTGTAAAAATGGCTAATTGATTAATTATAAAATCATAAATATTTTTAGAAAATAAATTGTATCTTAACAAGCATTGGAAGATAGTCAACATTCATCTCTTTTTTAGATCCCAAATAATTTCCCAATGAACCTAATTAATGTTGTTGACTTTTCAAATTGAGTTAGTCAATCACATTTGGTACTTTTTATTCTTGACAACAGTTCCTCCTAATCAAAATTGCTACCTAGTTTCTCATTATACTACAAGACTTGATTAAAGAACTTTATCGAGTTATTAAAGTGTGAAAAATAAGAATAAAAGTAAATATCAATGCTTAGTTAAATATAATGTAATGAATAATTACTTAAAATCAGGAATATTTGTCCGTATCCTAATAAATTGAGATGATAGGCTATATATCTTTCTAACGTTATCATCCTTTTATCATACTTATTTTATTTATTTAATAGTCCTTATTTTAATACCATGTGGGATTTATAAAAACACAATACCTGTTTTATAATAAATACATAAATAAATTTTAAAACTATATATTCATTTGTCATTTTTAAGTTCATCCTTTTAGTTCATACATTAGTTTCATTTGTCACTTTCTAGTTCATACATTAGTTCCATTTTGGAATTGATTAAACTAACAAGCCAATAACACTTTCTAGGATTTGTCTTTTTATTTCATTAATTTTTTTTATCAAGTCATTACTTGATTTAAAATTAAGTTACTAGACCCCACATGATTTTAAGCATTTAGCTACTTTTACATTTATGATTATTTACCTAGGAACGTTTTTTAAATATAGAAAGAAATAAGTGGATGGGTTTAATAGTACAAACTTCTTTATCATGGAATAATCATAGAGTGATTTAGGGGGATCAACTGCTTCGTTGTCTAGTTGTACACCTGTATAACATTTATATTAAATTCTATTCCCCTGGAAAAGGGTTACATTAGGATGTGCCCCTTTGTCTCTTCTAGTCCCACCAGAAAACACTGATTATATTAACTTAATCACCAACAATATATTATTGTTATGAAAACTACATTATTTTTCTTTCATTTTCTAATTTCATTTATTAATTATTAATTAACAGGCAAATGGGTGGCCCTTACAACTCTTATCCGTGGCTTGCTTGTCTTTAGCAGCTAAAATGGAGGAACCCCTTGTTCCTTCCATTTTAGATCTTCAGGTAACTGTTAAATATTTATCTCGTCCTGTAAAACTGATACTTGACATATCCCTCCTCCCCGGCTGCTACCATGTAGCAGCATGTATAAGGGCCGAAAATTCGATCTTTTTTTTCATCGAAAGTCTCTAATTATTACGCATATATAGGTCGAAGGTGCAAAGTATATTTTCGAACCAAGAACAATCCGAAGAATGGAGTTTCTTGTTCTTAGCGTTTTGGATTGGAGGCTACGATCCGTTACACCGTTTAGCTTCATCGGATTCTTTGCCCACAAAATCGATTCAACCGGGACTTACACCGGATTCCTTATCTCAAGGGCAACCCAAATTATTTTATCAAATATTCAAGGTAATTATTAATAGCATATAATAATTATTAATGCTCCGCATGCATGTAGGTTTTTGATATTAAGAAATCAACCACCTGTCGTACTGTCTTATAAATAATATTAACATATATTATTCATGCATGCGATTCCAAATACCAAAAAAGTTGACCAAAAAGTTTGACTCTTGCAGAGGCTAGTTTACTTGAGTATTGGCCATCATGCATTGCTGCTGCAACCATACTTTGTGCAGCTAGCGATCTTTCTAACTTTTCACTTATCAATGCCGAACATGCCGAATCATGGTGTGATGGGCTTAGCAAAGTATGTCTCACTCTCCCTTTCCTCACCAACCATTTTTTTAACTGATATTATCTGGGTCAGTTTATACGTACCTTGACTGATCCCATAAAATTCTAAGGATAATTAACCGTCAGTCCTGAGGAGACTTAAAAGTAGTGACCTAATAGTATCTTCAATGCAGGTTCTTATAAAAACCCATATTTTGTACTTCTGCTTGCCACATTGTCAAATTAAAAACCTATATAAAACTTTACAATTGTAGTTTTTATAAAAACCCATTTTGTGGTTCCATGTATTTTTTCAATATCATTAATATTTATAAAAGTCAGTAAAGTATATAAGGAAAACTAATTCACATCAATTCCAAGGTAAGAACCAAAGTTTTGTACAAGAACTCAAAGAATATAAGGTTCTTATAAAAACTTTTTGCAATGGTGCTTTTTTTAAGAATCCACACTTTTTGCTTATAACAAATGTAGCTTATTACAAGAACTAATATTGTAGAAAGTTCTTGTAAAAACCTCACCCTCTTTGACTTCTTGTATAAGAAGCTTACGTTGGTGAGAAGTGACAATCAATAAGTTTTTTTATATATTTCAAATTAAATATTTGAGATTATTTTTAGATATATAATAATTATTGTGATGTTGAAAAAATACAAGAGAACCACAAAAAAGTTCTTATAAAAACTATCATTTGTGGATTTTAAAAAAAAATTTGATGTGAAAACAAAAAATTATAAAAAGTAGGTTTCTATAAATTAAAACCTCAAGCTGAGATGGTGAACATTTATTTTAAACCACTCTTTGAACTAATTGGACCAAATTCCAATTAATTGACAGGAAAAGATCACAAGCTGCTACAGACTGGTACAAGGAGTGAGTCCATCAGAAACGTCAACCAGCAAGTCCTTAAAGATACAACCGGTTCAGGTCCGAGTCATGACTCGTGCGAGTATTGGATCAGGTGACTCATCATCCTCATCCTCATCATCACCCTCATCGTATAAAAGGAGGAAATTAAATAACTGCTCGTGGGTAGATGATGACAAAAGAAGCTCTAATTAATAAAAGACACCAAAAAATAAATAAATAAATAAATAAATATGGGGTGAGAGTGAGAGTGGGGAAAAAAGGAAAAAGTGGTTCCAATTGCTCCAGGTTCAATTCCTCACTATATTTTCGAAAGAGGAATGGAGATATATAATTAATTAATTATTAAATTTATTTTAGTAGGTGGGCAATTGCCATAATTCATAAATATGGCCTTTGCTGGTTCCCTAGGGAAAGGGGAAGTTTGGTACATAGTATTTTGGTGTGAAGAAAATTTGTTTACTACAAAAGTGGGAGTCAGTCGTTGGTGTGTGAAAAAGAGAAGTGGGAACTGTGATTCAATTCAAAGGTGGCATTCATTGTTGAACAAATCAAAGATAGATGATGATGATGAGAAAGAGGGGGTGGAGCGTATGTGGGTCCCCTTCAACCCAAATATTAAAACAAAAAGAGCAACTCACTCACGGGAGACTTACGAGATATCAACTTAAAAATATCAGTGAGTTGTTGATATTGATACTGATACTGATTTTGAGTTTATATATGAAAGAAAGAAAGAAAGATCGTTCGATCGGATGTGGGATTTGAAGATCACAGAAGATGAGAAAGACTCCCATTTTCTTTTTTTACTGAGATTAATTTTTAATTTTTCATAAGAAAAAAAAAGAGAGATTTGATTTTTGGAGAGTGGTTTGAGAGACACATGCTTTGGTTTGTAAGTGTGTGTTCTCACACGTGTGCATGTGTGTTTTTTTGGCGGGAAATGTTCGGGCATCTTTCCAAATGTTTTCTTTTTTAGTCCCTATTATTTATTAACTTACATAACCAGGGACTTTTTTCTTCTTTGCGTTATTTTAGGAGTGTTGTGGTTCACGCGTGTGATGGTGACACGTGCATGTAATTTTAATTTTTTTAATTTTAAAGGGGTTAAAAACGTCCTTTTCTTAATGGCCTGAATTTGGCCTAACCATACCAAAGGTCTTTGGGGCCTTTTTTTCCAAGTTTTTTACTTTTCATTTTGTATTATTAAGCGTGTTTGTATTTGTCATTTGGAATATTCAGGAAATTATATATATATATATATATATATATATATATTTCATCATGTTCCCTCCATTAATTTCTGCCTATTCTCTTTCTATGTCACGTGATTGATAACAAAGTCATTTGTAGCCTTCCCATTTGTTTTACACTTCTTTATTTATTGTTGTGGAAGTTTGTGAATGTCATGCATCTATGTGTTTTCTAATATTATATTACTTATTACACACTTACTTTTTAAGGTTTGATATATAATCTGTAGATGATTACAAGGCAAAAATGTTTAAATTTATTGGTCAAAACACTTTCACAATCAATTACATTTCTACATCCCCATATCGGTTGAGCAGAAGAATAACAGTTGCTTTTATAAGAAATTTAATATTTTAAAATTGTGAATCCAGATTTAGATAAAACGAACAATATCTTGTATGATTGGTTGGAGATATTACAAATTGTATCAAAATCTAGAACTGGACTGGTGTATCAGTAATAAGGCTGGGCTCCCCGAAGCGCTGGATTGTAAAATCCCACATTGGTTGGGGAGGGGAACTAAAGTTGTCTTATAGGGTGTGTTTGAAACGTTGGACATGACAGAACAGAATATCATAGAGATTTTTGTCCCATGTTTGACATGACTTTTATACGGAATAGACAGCAACATAGTGTAACAAAATTATGTTTTACAAATAACCTTAAAATAAAATTTAATTTTTTTCTAAAACATCAAATAAGTCTCTTTTTTACATTTTATTTATTGTATTTTGTGTTTCTTAATATTTTATTTTACTGTTCTCAAAATATTATTTTTATACGGTTTTTATATTTTATTAATTTATGTAATTTATTATATATTAATAATAAAAAAATAATGTAGAAAATAGATAAAAATAAAAATTGGAAACTACATAAACTTTTTATTTGGTGTCATTTTAATTGTTTTGACGAAAACTTTCTAATTATATATTTTGTTATGAAAAACAATTATTCTATTATAATTTAAAAAATTACATAAATTAATTAAAATAAACAACATATTAGGGGTAAATTGGTCATTTACTCGTATAATTTTATCTTACCAAACATTGAACAGTTGTTCTATTCTATCATGTCCTATCTTGTCTGGACACCAAACACATCCATAAAAGACTTGATACTTCCATCTATCAGACGTGTTTAGAACAATGAGTCCATGTATAGATAAAATAAACAATATCTGTTACGGTTGGTCGATGATGTTATAGATAATTATCTTGATTAAGATAACATTCCTCATAATCCAACCAGTTTTATAAACTTAGAATGTTGTCTTTAAGTTAGAAGAATAAGTCATCTTACCTGACATCAAAAATGAATTCATTAAGATACAAATGACGGTTCGAAGAAGGCAATGAATGAGTGTGGGACTTAGATATGCTTGTATCGTTATGATTTGGTCCCATAAGAATTGGGGTTTTCTGTTGAACATGACTCATATGTGGACCTCCTCTTTCTTCGACACCTCATAAGATTTCATAAAACATCCTCCCCACCTCACCTCCCCAATCTTACATTATTTGCTATACAAGAAGACATGGATCAAAGGAGATCCAATCGTAGGGTACATACGTTATTGAACTTGTGATCTTTTGAGCTCGAATCGATGATGACGAGCAGTGATTTGAATATCGTAATTTGTTTCTTCTTTTGTCGATTTCATTTGCCTCTCGATGCACTTCATAACATGGTTGAAGTTTTATGTGAATTCTGGTTACACTGGATTTAAAATATTTATACGTAGTAAGGGTGTAAATGATGCTAGCCTCGTGTATTGATGTACTCGACTTGAACTTAATAGTCATTTCTCAAACTTGAACTCGACTCGAAACTTGGTAGTAGTTAAAAACTAAATTCAACTCGAACTCGATTGCAATTTTTAAACTCGAACTCGTTTAAAGCTTGAACCAAGCGCGAAGACGAACTCGAATCAAGTTTGAACCAAGCTCAGTCGTTAAAATTTATGAAATTTTAGGGTGTTTTATAAATAATAAAACTTAAAGATGTTCTTTTAAATTTTATAAAAATAGAGGGATGCACCTTAAACTTTATCATAAAAAAGACAAAGTTACAAATCTCATTCATTTCCATCTATTTCTATATTATCTCTCTTCTAGTGTAAGACAATTTCATCAACATTTTTATAGTTTTTTTTGTTTTTTTTAATTATGATTTTAATAAAAATAATTGATTGATTTCTAAAGTTTTACAAATTATATTATATTTTACAAATTATAAGAAAAAGTTGATTTTATTTTAAAACTAATTACATATATAAAAGTAACAGGAGGTCCTAGGTTCAAATCCAAGTAAGAATAAAAATCTCCTTGTGGCCATGGATGTTCAAATGCGGTGACTCCGTACTATTTGCAAAGCAGGTGGTCGTCCTGGGATTAGTCGGCTTGCATAGCGGGTTGGATATCCAGGAAATCAAAAAAAAATCGAGTATCTCACAAGCTTTTTGGATCAAGTATTGGGTAGCTCGACTCGGCTTGTTAATTTGTCGAGTCGAATTCGAGCTAAGCCAATTCAAATCAAATGTTAACCAAGTCGATCTTGAGTAACTCACGAGTTATCTCGTATTGTTTACACCCATAGTACATAGGTCACCATCTACATAAGTGAACTAAGGGCTTCTTTGTTGGCAGCTTAATTAGTTTAATGAGACTCACACCTAATTTATTAGGTATATATATGACTCCTTGGTACGGCTTAATCATATAGAAAATGGCTTATTCAATAAGTTTTCACGATCGAGTCAAGTTTTTATCCAAACTTCCCCCTCTCTATTAAAAAAAAACGTCCCTTCCACTTATATAAAAAAAAACTTCCAAATAATTTTTTTTTCAATCTATACAGACATATTAATCTTAATCGAAAACCAACCAGATATTATAACATCACAAGCTAATCGTACCAGATATTGTCCACTTTGTCCATAAACCTGGACTCACGTACGCATCTGGTAAATCAGGTATTCAGTCCCTTATAAGATAACATTTGTTCCCCTCTCCAACCAAAATGGGATATGGAGTAAAAACTTGTAACATATGTTTATTTATGCATGTCAATAGTTAATTATTCCTTTATCTAATACAGGAAACTATTGAGACCTTTGGGGAATAAGTTTGACACTTTAAATGCAAGATTTTGATGCCAATTTTAAAGTCCATTAAGCCACAAAAAGTTCCTGTCGATGTTGCACAGCTGGACCACAAAGCATAAATATTCAACTTCAAGTACCAAATTTAATCATCGTAAATTGTTAAAAAAAAAAAAGAAGTAAATTTATTAATGGTTATCGTTTAACTGATTGATAAACGATTGTAACGTGTAACGGAATTTTGACTTAAAAAAACTGGAGGTGGCATGATGGATGTGTTGGGAGGTTTGGATATTGGATCAAACTGAGTTCAAGTTAAAACAGGTAAATCTTAATATGGGATGAATTAGATTTATCTATTAATATATTTCTTTGTTGGAGATAAAGTTTCTACTTTTTCCCACCCCCCCCCCCCAAAACACACACACACACACATATATGTATATATATCTATATATATATATATATATAGAGGAGCGTTTAAATAAAAACCACCCAATTTGTACAAACCGTGAAAACCACATTCAACCAATCATAATTTTTCATTTTGTTTATTTTTTTGTAATTATGAGAGGTTGATTAACCATTTTTATTGTGGAGGGTGTTAATCATGGATATTATCATCTTCATTATTTTAATTTTAGAAAAATAAATGAAACAGTTTCATTAAAATTTCATTAAATATTATATGAAACAATTTCATAACCATAACAAATTCATCAAAAAAAGTATTATATGAAACAATTTCACAAGATTAAACAATTTCATGAAAAAATTTCAGAAAATTAAACAATGAAATCGACGTATAAGGGTGGTTTATATGATTTGTACAAGTGATGGTGGTTTTCATTTGATCGCTCCTCTCTCTCTCTCTCTCTCTCTCTCTATATATATATATATATGATATATTTCAAATACAACCATGTCTATTTGTACAACAAATACAACCCAATTAATTGAGATATTTATGGAAATGATGAGAGTTCATTTATTATGATTTGAATATTTATGGAAGATGAATATGGTTCATTAATTATGATCAATACTTTATATTTGGAAACAATCAAAACTTCTATGAAATCACATATTCATCAAATTAAATGGACGGTTAAGATTGGGTTGTATTGGTTGTACAAATGTAAATGGTTGTATAATAACCAACATATATATATATATATGTGTGTGTGTGTGTGTGTGTGTGTGTGTGTGTGTGATGTGAAGGTTCCAATGAGAACACCTCTATTTTGCGAGAAAACGCAGAAACATTCTTATCACATGTGATGATACACGTGAGGTGACCTAGTAGTGTGCATACGACTTGGTCTGCGACTTAGGTTGTGCTAAAGATTGTATGCATCTCTGATTTGGTATCAAATGTTTTATCATATTTGATCGATTATAGTATCACATCGAGAACACATTTATCACACGTGACAATACACTTGAGGGTACCTAGTGGTGTGTGGGAGACTTGGTCCGCAACCAGCGTCACACCAAAGGTCGTTTGCGTCTCTAATTTACCTATTATATCAATTGCCTAATATACATCGTATTTTAAAGACGTTTGTGATAGTGATAACGTTCACAATGTTTCACGTGTATCAAAATATATTTTCTTTGTTTTATGAAATGTATCATAATGTGCATTTTCGTTATTCTCATTGCTTTACAAAGGATATCAAATTATGCATCTTGTATGTATATCTGAGTATCACAGTGAATAATATTCGTCGGAGGGAAGAAAGAGGA